CAAAATTAAGATGAGATTCACATGGAGCAGGCATTCAGCAAGATTAAAAGCAGCTCTTTCAAGGCCCCAATGGTGAATGTGATAGTTTAAATTATTTAAATTCACCAATGCGCCTAACTGTAGTTCTCGAGCCACGCGTTGTATTCTCGCCTTTAACTACCACAAATAGTGTTCTTTATATGCTTGATTTCACGCGTAATCATTTCAGTTCCTTCAGTGATTTAAAATTCCCCTATTTTTTGTTGTTCTTGATTATGTTTACAACATAAGGAACACAATGTGTTTCCATCTTAACATTGTCTTAGAAGATCGATTTCCGGGTATTCAAATCCTAAATCTCAAGTGACCCAGTCCGCATATGAAAACACGTGATACTCAGCTGATTGAATGTTATTGTTTGTAACCTAGAAAAAGGCAAATTTGAGGAAAATGGATTACTTCAGCTCGTCAAAAAGGTACAAGAAAAGCAACAATTTTGACAGAACATAACGAAGACCCATCATTCTGGAATCACACAAAAACAAGAGATGCATCAATTCTCGACCCTAAAAGAACCCTAAAATTGAAAAACTAGGCGTGCCAATCAAACCATTAAAGCTAACAAACCTAACAAAGAGAATTACAGAGGCAACAGCTAGAAAAGGGGTAGAGATGGCATACCGTAGCCGCCGCGTTCGTTGAGCTTGGCTTGGACAATCATGGTCGAGATAAAGTGGGAAGCCTCACGCGCCTCCTCGAGGAGGCGGCCGCGGTCGGCGGGGGAGGTGACGTGGCGGTTCTCCTCGAATTTCTTGCGGACTTCCGCGGCGGACTCTCGGAGCATTACGTTGTCGCCGGCGAAGGTCCTTCGCGTGGCTCTCAGCACCGCTCTGTACGCCTGAATTGCTTCGCTCCCCATACTCACTCTATACGACGTCGCACTTGGATTTACCTGCTATGGAACTTATATTTATACTGGAAGCTTTATTGATATTAAGGCAAAATTGACCACCTTTCATGGTTTTGCATTTTAATCACGACCTTTGCATATTAGCACTTGAGTACATGACATTTTATCCTTTTGCAAGTCGAACCATGTCTTTCATCTCCGACACAAATAAAATGACGTGACTTGCCGAAAACACACGTGGAATGTTTAAAAAAAAAGAAAAAAAAATGAAAATCCACTTGGGACTGTCTTTTTGACATGTCACTGCACCAAAA